CATAAGAGAAAAGATCAATAAATTATACTACATGAAAACTGTATTTACCAAAGATATCTTTATAAAAGCTAAAAAAAAAAATTAGCTCATAGAATGGGTGAGGCTAATTACCAAAACAGGGTTAATGAGAACCTATTATACAGAATGTGTGTGTGTGTGTGTGTGTGTTTGTGTGTGTATGTGTGTGTGTGTGTGTATTCCTATAAACCAATAGGAAAAGAGCCCAAGAGAAACTTTGACAAAAGACCTGGACAGATACACATAACAGAAAATCAAAATGGTCAATAAACACACAAAAATGTGAGAAATCTATTATCAAGGAAATGGAAATTTTCTCTCTCTGTACTTGGCAAAAATTAACAATTATGATCATTTCAGAAAGTCAGGTTTCAATATATACACTTTTATATACTGCTGGTGAAAAGTATAAATTAGAAATAGTAAATTTTGGAAGCTATTTGGCATTATCTCATAAAATTGGAGACATACATGATCTTTGAACCAGCAACTTCACTTCTAAGTGTAGTCCCTGCAGAAAGCAAACTGGTGAACATCAGGATATAAATTTAAGACTTCAGAGTGGCATTGTCTCCATGATTGCCCAAACCAGAAACAACTCCATACCAGCTAAGAAGAATCTGGCTTCTGTAACCCATAACCCCCAAACCTCAGGTACTTGACCTTGTAAAAGCTTATTTCTTACTCCCACACTAGCTGGCCTGTGGATACTCCTACCCAGGAGGCTTTCCTGGGCAGCTCTCATTCTAGCAGTGATTGAAGAGCCCTGTTTTCATCTATTTTATAGCTCCACCATCTTTCACATATGACTTCCAAGATCACCCAGAGATCATCTCCAGTCCAGATGAGGTTCATTTGGGCCAGGTCGGACTCCATGCCCATATCTTACCGCATAGGAGGTGGGAAATGCTGTCCAGGCATGCTCAAGAGGGCCCTAAGAGAGCACAGGAGTGGTGATTTGCTACTAATCCACCCCCAAACCAAAATCTCTATAAACTTCACAAAATGATGTTGAGCAAGAGATGCCAGACTCCCTCAATACTTCATTTTGATCTATATCTATATAAATATATGCAGCTCCAAAATAGACAAAGTGAAACTGTATTGTTTAGGGAAATATACATAGGTCATAAAAGTAGAGAGAAAAGAAAAGGAATTGTTACAGAAAGTTGGGAAGGCTGTGAGAAGGGGCTGGCGATGTCCAAGTTCTGGACCCAAGCATCAGTTTTCAGGTGTTCATGATACTTTTCCTCACACACACAGTTACATCCACACACCAAAGTTCAAAAAGCCAAATGTGTTTTCTACCTCGACATTAGTGGACCATGCAGTTTGGCCCAGAGAAAAGCAGCTTCCCCTGGCTGGATCACCTGGCCTCCTGGCTGACCAGGCTTTCCTGTCTCCCCTGCTGGATGCCAAGCGCCTTCCAGTCCGAATTTGCTCTGATTTACCATGCTGAAGGGGAAGAAAAAAATCTGTGCTCCCCTTTGACATAATTGCCAAACACCTGATTCTGTCCCCCTAGGTTCCTGCGTAAATGTTATTATCTGCTGTTGTCTCCCATAATTACTATCCCCTTCCTGAGTTGATGAACAGTTTCTGCCACCGTCTAGTTTTGCAGTTAACAAAATGCCATTTTGCTACTGGCGCTGCAACTCCCCTCATGATCTCTTTATCTTTGTTTCCTACAGTAACTTGTAAATTCCAGTGACTCATATCTCTCTTGTTCCAGACACTTAACTTTCAAATCTGTATTTTCCACCCTCCAGTGCACAATTTGTTTTACATTCTGTTGGGTCTCTCTTTCATCATCCTTGAATTCTACAGCTGGGAAAAGCCTTCCTCCCGCTACTCAGCCCTGAACACCTTTGTTTTTCCATTTCACAGACTCCAACACTTGGCTTTTGAAGGTAGATGATTTGAAGTATTCCCATGTCCCCTCGCATAAAAGGCGTTTGTACTGGTGTCCTTCAGCAGAAACTTCTCTCTGCCTCCTACTGAGATGCCCAAAGGGCTGGTTGGCTTCCAGCCCTCCCTTCCCAAAATGGTGGCATTTCAGTGGCAAAATTCCCATCACCTCTTGGTTATGAAAGGAACTGGAATGAACTGTTTGATGTTAAGTGGGAATGATGTAGGGATAGCTGGGTTGCTTCCCTTTGTCCTCCAGATAACCCACCAGGTATCTGAGGCCCAAGGCCCAAGTTCCACAAAAGCAGCTTGGAAGAAGGGCAACCTGCATTCTTTTAGACACCCTCAGGTGACATCTCCTAGAGACAATCACCTGAGAGGGAAATGCTGGGGGCGGGGGTGGGGGGGTGGGGGGTGGGGAGAGTATTTTTTTTTTCTTTCTTTTCTGTTTTCTCTCCCTAAGTCAACTTAAGAAGGCCTTTGAACTAGCTCTCAGGCTGTTTAGGTGGAACTCCAGCTATGCTGGGACAACTTGGAGGCACACCCTCTGGTAAAATCACCTCTTTTGAGAAAAAGAAGCCAGTTATAGACCCAATACTCACAAGCCCAGTGAGTAAATAAAGGAGCAGGCCCGAAAGTCTCAAAGCCTATAGAAATCATGAAATCAACTGTAACGCATTGCCATTTATTTACCAGTGGTTTGACTGCAGACCCAAATAATCTATTTCAGTGAGTTTGCCTTCAGGTTTAAGGGTCCCACTCAGGGGAGATGTTTTAAAGGGTGTTGGGAAGGAGAATGGTGTTGCGGCAAAGTGAGATTTCATGCAGGGCTTCCCACATGCCCCCACCCTTTCTATTGTAAATTACCTTTAACAAGTCTGTAGTAGAGAATGCATAGCTATTTTGATTTTAAAATAAAAGTCCTTTTAAAAAATGCATTTACTACTTTCAAAACCAGATTGGCAAAACTAATGTGGTTAGGTTACAAAAAGCCAATCAATCTAGAATGATTCAACTCAATACTTTGGCTTTTTAAAAGATAATTTAAAATGTCAGAGTTGTTAAGGAAAAAAAAAGAGAGAAAAAAGAAAAGAAAGCCAGATATTCAAAAGTGTGCCAATTAAAGAAAGAAAGCATCTATTTTGTTGTCCCTACAGATCCCAAGCATTAAAATGATATGACATTAATGCTTATCATGTCCATATCCTCAGTTATTCATGGCCTAATTGAAAAAAAAACAACTTATTTTTATGTGGGACTATGGAAATATGTCCTGTGGAAAAACATTAAAATGTTCCAACTAATAGAACATATTGATCATATAAAGGCTCATCAGTCCTATCAGATTCTTGGCATTTTAACAGTGCTCTAAATTCTCAATGACTACTTGGAGACAAAGTAATTAGAAAAGAATAGCATATATAATAGAAATATTCAAAATACTCATGTAAGAAAGTGTTTGTTTTGTTTTGTTCAAGGAATTTTCCCCTACCTGAATTAAGTAATTTTTAAAATTTGTTTTCTTTATGGAAAAAACCCAATAGGATTATTTAAATATTTCATAAATTAGCTACAGTCAGGAAATGATAAATTAAATTTACTAGCCCCTAGACACTCAAATTAGGCTCGTGCGCACACACATGCACACATTTAACTGAAATGTTGGCAATTTTCATCTTGTCCAAACTTCCCTGTTTAATCCCACATTGATGAATAACAAAGTGCTCTGGATTGCCCTCTCTCTCTACCTTTGCCATCTTGGTTGGTTCGTCACAAACACTGCTCCCTGGGAAGCCTTCCTATTCAGGGGGAAGAAAGGTGGAAGGAATAACATTCAATTTTTTTCTATGTTTGCTATAACCTCCTCTTTTAAAAGTCTGCTGTCCGATGAAAAATGTCGAAGAAGCCCTAAAATACAATAAATCATAAAATAAAATTTACATGTCAGTAGGGTATTTGTGGGTTGGGGAAGAGAATGTGTGGGTGGGGCTGTGGGTGGGGGAGGGAAAGGAGTTCAGCAGCTGATTTTCCTTCAAAGAAATAAGGCAAATTAGCGTCTTTTTCATGCTTCTCCAGGCAAGCATGCTGCTCCCCAGAACCCCCAGAACACAGAACCGCTCCTCCCTGATCTCCAGCACTGCCCAGTGTACCGGTTCCCTCCATCCCACGTGTTCAAGCAACCAGCTCAGGGTTGTGCCCTAAATCTTAGAAAGTCACAAATCACTGGTTCAAATAGACCCGCTTCTTCAAAGGAAAGAATGGGGAGTGGTGAGGGAAGGAGGAGGAGAGATGCTTAAAGTGATTTAAGACCCCCCTAGGAGAGGGGTTTTGGCACCTGGGCCATTATGCTGGGACAAGAACTATCGGCGAGTAACAAGAGACATTGAAATGTACGAGGGGCTGATTAGGATGGTTCAATCTTCCCCGGATTAGTCAAGCATTTGATATAAATAAGTAAACACCCAAATCATCTGCACTACAGCCCAAAATGTCTCCCCTTTCACTTTCTTTCTGCTTTTTTTCTTTTTTTCCCAAAGAGTGAAAGGGACTAGAGATTAGAAAAAAAAAAAGAGGTCTTGTGTATTCAAAGTGCTAATTCAGAACTTCTTTCTCTAATGCACTCATGAAACATTTTAATTGTCTGACTTTGCATTCAAAAGCCTTGTTTGCGACTCCTAATTGCAGGCTGCTTTGAACAAATAATTGAAATGCATGACTTGTGGGGCCTGCTTAAACAATTATAATGTGCTTTGCCGCTAGGTGCTGGTCCCCCTCCCACCCTGTCCCTTTTTGCATAATGACAAGCAGCCAGCTTGATATTTGCAGCCAAGTTAAAACCTTGCTAATTTGCTGCGCTGCAATCTGGGGCTGTGGCAGTGGCCGTACCTGCATTAGTGCTTGCAACAGCAAAAAATGGCTCTAATAGTTCAACTGAATGTTAAGAAGACCTTTTCATTTTCTGCTGAGAGAATCCCACTGGGGTTTTGTTTTCAAAATACAAATCTTTCATGTGCCTGTTAGTTTTGTATCTACCCACAATTTATGGAGCTATTTCCTTGAAAATTCTCCCAAACCTGATTTTAGCAGAGTCCTCAGCAGATAGGTTCCTTCCTCTTGGGCAGCTCAGGTTTAGAAATGAAACAAAAGTGTCCAGATCCTGGGAATGCCCTGTCACTGGCCTCCGTGGGCAGCTGAAGACCACACACAGGGACTCTGGTCCTGAAAAGGTCTCTCACTTTTAGAATCTAGAACACAGTGCCAGATGTGCTTCCAGTCCAACCTCCTGGCCAGGACTCAAAGGTTGAGGGAACTTAAAAACTGTGCTCACTTATATTCTGAACAGTTAAATTTTATTTTAATTTTTAAAGATGGTGGGCGAAATACAGGTAGCCTAAAATTTATCCACTTAGCCCCTTCTATATACACAGTGCAGTGATCCACACTGCAGGACTGCCATCGCCACTGTCCATCCACAGAACTCCTGCAAAACTGAAACTCCATAGCCATTAAACAGTCACTCCCTATTTCTCCCTCCTCTGCCCTGGGAAACATTCTACTTTCTGCTCTACGAATTTGACTACTGCAGAGTAAGCATTTAAAAAAAAAAAAATCAATCTTAACGTGTTTTAGAAAAGGATCAAACTTTTACTTTTGAAAAGACTAAATTGTGCCTTCCATGGAATCATCTAATTCAATAATTTATAATTCTATTACTTTTCTTATTTCTGTTTGGGATGTTATGTGTGATTTTTTTAAGTAGATTTTTTAAGAGAGAGAGAATTTTTTTAATATTTATTTTTTAGTCCTCGGCGGACACAACAACACAACATCTTTGTTGGTATGTGGTGCTGGGGATTGAACCCGGGCGGCACGCATGCCAGACGAGCGCGCTACCGCTTGAGCCACATCCCCAGCCCTTAAGTAGATTTTTAAATTCACTGTTTTAAGGCCCCATTTCTGCTGATAAAAACAGCAATAAAAACGACATCCATTTTCCTGGGCTCTTCTTAAGAAGGCTCAGTGGTCTTGACGAGGTGGCCACAGGAGGGAGCCTCCAGTGGTCGTGGCACTGTTTTATATATTGTCAGTTCTAAGTGCTCACCATGACCCATGCGATTGATTCTCTTTTACAGATGGGAAGATGAAGCTCAGGAAAGCTGGGTAACTTGTCCAAAGTCACACAGTTCCTCTGTGGGGAGAATGGGATTCAAGCCGGTCAGTGAGACTTCAAAGCTCTTTTCAAGATGCAGAGCTGCACAGCAGGAAGAATCCACAGGAAGTGGTACTTCAAAGACACTTGCTGTTTGGCAGGGGGAGCTGGGATTAACACCAGCTTGTTCCAAGACACAGGTGTAACACGTGTGCAGGGACGAAGGAGGGGAATTCCTTGTCATTGTTATGAATACCCTGCATCCCACCCGGAGTAGGTTGCAGCCAGCAGGTGGTATTAGAACCCTCCTTGGGAATCTCTGGCCTAGCATTTCTTGGTTTTATCAATCTCTAGAGAAGAGCCCCAAGATTCTCTTCATAACCCACTTTTGAGCTAAGAAGGCCATTCATCCCAATAACAATAGCTGGCCTTTCCTGAGTGATTACCGTGCACCAAGCTTTGTGTGTATCACTTGCAAATGTAAGCAGCCTTACTCTCAAGTTCACACACTTAAAGCTACCCTAGACAGATTCTCCTAACATAAAATGCAAATTAAGCTGCAAAGCCCCATTCAAGCTCATGCATGCCTTCGGTGTGTAATCACTAGACTATCCTGCCCCAAGTAAGGTCCTTGGCCCTGCGATGGGGGATCTAGCCATCCAAAGTGTGTAAATTGGTTGTTCCAAGTTATAGCAAATGACAGACAGCATCAGTGTTGCTTTTCCAGGCAGGTGGTCTAATCCCTCCAGATACCCACTAGAGAAGATGACTATAGCACAAATTAAAAAAAAAAAAAAAAGAATACTGAGCCTATCTTGGAGGAAAACTTTTGCTTTAGTAGTATTGTTGCCTAAAACATCACCAATGTTCTTCTGCTCCCTAGAAGCCCAATTTAAAAATTCAAATATGCACTATGGAAAGTAAATGATGTAGGCTTCTATTATAGATTTCTTTAGGAAGTATTCATCCACAGCAGAATGGTTAAGAAATGTAACTTTGGAGCCCTAATTCAAATTCTGTTTGTCATTTATTGGTTATGTGATCTTGAGCAAATCACTTAACTTTTCTGTGCCTTAACTGTAAAATGGAAATCAAAATCAGTCCCTACTTCAAAAAGATAGTTGAAAACATTATCTAAGTAGTGAATAAATATGATCTACTGCCATTATTTCAGGTTAAAAGGTAATTAGGTTTCCCAAATATTCTTGTCAAAAGCATTTCACCAGAATTTAACCAAGCTTTTGGTCCTTCTTGGAAATTTCATAATATGTAAAACATAAAAGAACAAGATAAATGATACTACAAAAGAAAAACAGCATATAATTCCAGAATCATGATACATTCCATAGGACAACTGGCAAATGTCCTCCTGCAATTATTATCCAACAGTAACAAGCTTTTCAATTAGTCCAATTCTATATTGCATTGCTCATCACCTCTGCCTCTGCCCACAGAAGATAGCTATCTGCCTTGCCTTGGTTACTCAGCTGATAAGTACCCAGGGAAGACAGTGTTCTTTCTTCAACACCTGCTTTTCTCAGCTCCTCTCAACTCTACCCCTCCCTCTCATCTACTGTGTCTCAAATGCTGAGATCATTTTGATTTGGCTGCTGTAACTTCAGTTAGGAGAACAGCTGAAATAGGATGAAAACCGAAACCCACTCAAAGCCTGGGTTCTGACTTACCTTTATAGATTTGAGTCACTGTCTACCCACCTGCTAAATTAGCTACCTGGCTGCATCTCTGGGAAGCCACGGATGAGTAAATCTGCCCTATTTGCCTGGTGAGGGAAGGCACATTCAAAGACTCACTCAGCAGTTTGCTTTTCATTATTCACTGAGACTTTTGGGACTGACTTCTTGAGCATTAACCCAAGTCAGTGCACGTGGCCCTCTTCACCCCACATCCAGCCCAAGGGCAGACTGACACCAAGATCTTGGGTTTGTTTTCTGCTGAGAATATCTTTCCATCATTTTCATCTTTAAACACTGACCCAACCCAATGGGACACTCACATAATGTTGGGACAATTTATGCATCAGAATGAATAATGGACTGTAATGGATTGAACCTCATTGAATATCTAAAAATTCCTGTGTTCCTAATGATACTCAGGAAGCAAAGCAGCAAACCAAGCCCCATTTGTTATCACTAGAATAAGCACTGCACCCTCTCCTTACTCTGGAAATTGATAAATGAAAGGATTATGTTTTGATTCAGTCAGAACTCATAGGGTGACCATGAAGCCCTGTCGATGTGTCCAGACCTATGTGTCCTGTCCCATACCCAAAGGAAAGGAATGAGGATGCAGAGATGACAAGAAGGAGCTAAGCAAACAGGCCTTGGTGTTTCAGCATACCTCATTGCCATCAGGTCCTCCCCTGCTGTCCAATGGCAATGACTGAGCACTCATCACACCTAAGCATAAAGATACACAGATGCTCCTCAGTACTTGGAGTCTGCATTTACAAAGCCTCTCACATTATGTAAGGCTTTGGCTAAATAAACGTGTTATGCATTCTCTTGCCTTTTGTTACAGGATGTCAGCCATGAACTTATACTATTACAGACTGATGAAATTAGAATCACCAAGGTCCCTCAAGAACTAAGATTCGAGCAAAGACCATCTATGGACAACATGGGAATCAGGTTGATACGATATCAACATACTACCCTACTATCCCCATCATCCTCCCCAAGTTGCTCACAAGCCACTGTTTGTGCACACTGGGGCATCAGGCCATCACATCCAAAACCATAATCAGTCTTAGCATATAAAAGCAAGACAGCCAGATGTCATATACTTCTTTTTTAAAATTTTTATTTGTTTTTATGATTTATACATGACAGTAGAAAGCACTTTGATACATCATATATAATGGAGTATAATTTCTCATTCTTCTGGTTGTATATGAAGTAGAATCACACTGGTCATATAGTTATATATGTACATAGGGTAATAATGTCTGATTCATTCTACTATCCTTCCTACCTCCAAACCCCTACCTCCTCCCCTCCTTTCATTTCCCTCTACCTAATCTAAAATAACTACTCTTTCCCACCCCTCTCCCCATGAATTGGCATTCACATATCAGAGAAAACATTTGGCTTTTGGTTTGGGGGATTGGCTTATTTCACTTAGCACAATATTCTCCAGCTCCATCCATTTATTGGCAAATGCCATAATTTTATTCTTCTTTAAGGCTGATATATACCAGATTTCTTTTTATCCATTCATCTGTTGAAGGGGATCTAGGTTGGTTACATAGCTTAGCTATTGTGATTTGAGCTGCTATAAACATTGATGTGGCTGCAACACTGTAATATACTGATTTTAAGTCCTTTGGTTATAAGCTGAGAAGTGGGATAGCTGGGTCAAATGGTGGTTCCATTTCATATACTTCTTGATGAGGTGCAGTACCAAGTACCCAGCACCACCTACAAAACATTCTTGCCAAAAAATATCACCCCAATTTAATCAAGCCTTTGCATATACTTTCAGGTTAAAAAAATACAGGGTGAACAAGATGAATGATATCCTTGGTGGGGCGGGGGGGCAACTCCAGATAATTCAAGAATTGTGATACATTCTAGAGGATAAATGGCCTTGTATCCTCCATAGATTAAGTCACAAAAATGGTGAGGTAACTAAGGTGGATCCTGGCAGAGGTAATCCACAAGAGTTATAAATATGGAATTCTATCATTTTTGGAAGCTGACTTCTTCCTAGAACAAGGCCATATTGGATAGTTGATATATATTTGTGAAGTGTAAGAATGAATGAATGAATTATGCTGCTGAGATCAAAGTGGCTCACAGGGGTAGGTACTTTGTCCATTGGCAGGTAGCAGGTGGGTGGCTGAGCTTGGACTAGAGCTTGATCTATCAATTCCAGGTTCTTGTTTCATAGTCCCTCTCTAGTTTTGCCTTTTCATGTATAATTTAGTTCTACATTTTAAAAACCATAAGAGGCATACTAACCAAATGTAATGTGCAATCCCTGGTTAGATTCTAGTTTGATCAAACTATTAAGGACA